TATATTTTAAAATTTAAAATTTATAATATATTTATATTTTTAATTTTTTAACTTATAAATTCTTAAATTAAAAAAAAATATTTAAATAAACTTAAGAGATTAATTAATGTAAAAATTAAAAAGGCAAAAAATAGTCTGTAGAGTCGGGAATTTTAGCAACAAAGGAATTTGATCATTGGAATTTGGAAGGGGTTACCACCAATGTCACGAAGGAATTGGGTACAAAAGCGGAATCTACACAGGCTGGGCCTGCTGCATAAAAAAACAAAATAAATGGCCAGGAAAATTGTAAAACCATTCGGGCCACAAGGCCGATTGGGTAAACCGAGATTTAGTGATCTCACCCCAGGAGATCAAGATACCTCTGTTAAGGTCTCCACTCCTTAAAAACAATCTACTGGTTTTAACAATACACAAATTGAATACTTCAACGTAGAAAAGGCATTTGCGTATGGCAAAAGGTGCAGATCAGCCCCTAAACTCAACAACTGGTGGCAAATCACCCCTTCAACCCACTTCACGCGCAAATCAGCCCCTCAACTCCCCTGCAGTGACAAATCAACCATTCTCTTAACATTTCTGTTAACATTTAATATTTCGTTCATCAGCCCTTCTTCTGTGTCTGACGTGGTTATTTTTTGGCTGAGATGGATGCTGAGATGGAGGCACACCTGGACAAATCACTTATTTGAAAATAAGCCATATAAAGATTAACACTACGCAATTAGACCCTTCTCTTAACATTTCCTTTAACATTTAACATTCCGTTCATCAGCCGTTCATCAGCCATTCCTCTGTGTCTGATGTGGTTATTTTTTGGCTGAGATGGATGCTGAGGTGGAGGCACACCTGGACAAATCACTTATTTGAAAATAAGCCATATAAAGATCAACGGAATTAGACACATTAACACTACGCAAATTGAATACTTCAACGTAGAAAAGGCATTTGCATATTGTGGCAGTACGTTGACGTTCTTCACTACCACATATTTGAAAATGAGACTCAACGAAATTTGGTTGGAAGAAACTATAATAAAAAATTCAACGGTTGGGCAAACGTGTTAGTAGTCTCACCTTGGAGGATAATCTCCCAGCTGCTATAATGGAAATTTGCCTTCCTCAAATTACCATAGTAACGGGTTCTTAATTATTGAGATTAGCATGGTTTACAATATTTTGCTTTAGCAAATCAACTCTGAACTCAAAGAGGCATGTCGTTCGTTTTTCTCATTTGAATCTTTAATTTCTAAGTCCTAATGATATAGGGGGATGCTGGCAAGGTCAATAATAATGTTTCATCACACCATTTAATTGTTGTTAATTTTCACATTTTAGTTTCAAGCATCCCAAAAGGAGTTACAAACATGGAGTATCATTAATTGGTATCACAGTTTAGAAAAGAAAAAGAAAAAAGAAATAAAAATTGAAGACTCAAAACAGAAAATAAAAAGGGGAAAAGAAAAATGTCCTGTTTATGTTCTGAGAATAAATTATATCAAATGTATAAAATTGTTAATTGAATTATAAATTATCAAGATAGAATCAATGAAAAGAACATAAAATAATTCTTAAAAATCATCAAAATTAACATATGTACCCAAAACCATGAAAAGATATGTATAAGTAATTCATAATTTATCAATCATGACATTAACATAGAAATCTAACATTATGTAATCAAAAAATTCCAAAAATCAAAAGAAAAATGTTTTCCCAACCATTTTCATTTTTGAAATAAAAAAATGAAAAAAAAATAATTGTTTCAAGTTAAAATAATATAAAAGTAAAAGTTGAAAATCCAAAGCGCAAAGTAATGAAAAATAAATATCAGAATAGAAAATACTACACTTTTGCCCTTCTTAACCCAAAAGAAAACGTGATACCCAATAGATCTCTAGTGTCAAATGAGATTAGAACAATATAACAGCCTGCGTGACTTACCCAATTAGCCCAAGAAGGCCAATTTTTCAGACGATGGAGGTGCTGAGTGAAGGAACTATTCTTGATCTGCAACAAAACAAGAGAAGATCAGTGAAATTTCTTGGATTTTGGAGAGTAACAAAGGAGGGAAAGCACAGAAACAGAGACCTGAAGGAGAAGAAGGGAGCAGGGAGGAGAAGAAGAGCAGCTATGCCATGAAGATTTGGTTGCTCATCCCCTTCATAGTAGCAGCCTTGAACAGAGTGTTCAACCCAACATTTGCACACTCCATATTCACCAGAGCTGTAAAGGGCAGCTAATCCTTGTAACGGTACCTCCATGCCATCTCTTTCTTCTCTCCCAAACACTCAGAAATTCCCACAACAAAAGAAAAACAGAGGAAATTCTGAACTTGTTCAAGATCAAGGATTTCTTATTGTTCGGGGAATGAAATAGTGTTATTGGTGAGAAATGACAAAGAAAACAATTGGAGAGCCTGACGGGTTTTCCTTTAAGTTTAAATTGACAGGTACTTTTGTAATCTATAACGAATTTTTTTTTTTTTTAAGTTTATTATGAATTGGTAATTGTTGGTGCTCCCCAGTCCCCACCCCCTTCCAGTCCTCGTTCCTGTTAATAGCAGGTACCGAGATGTCCTTTGTTTTTCTTATTGTGGTACGTATTAGTCAAATATTAAAATGGTAGAATTTAATTTTATTATTTTAATAAATAAACTTTATAATATCATGTAAATGGTAATTTATAAAATATAAAAATAAAAATTTATAGAAAAGGAAAAAATATAAATTTTTTTACAAATATTATAAAAATGGTATTAAGTAAAAGAATAAAAATTTTAAAACAAGTAAATATATACAGTGAAGTAAATACATACAATAA